AAACCGAAACCCTCAATGGTGTAATAAAGTTCCATACATTTCTTGTCCAACTCTCTTTATCATGTCGTCTTCTAAACGCTTCATAAACATATTTAACTGTTAACTCACCCTTAGGAGTATGCTTTAACAAATCATCTTCCTCTATGAAATGTTGCTCATGATCCGCAAGAAAGGAGAGAATGGCAGTACTTTTTATCTTTTTTTTTTTTTTTTTTGCTGGGGAAATAAATTAAATTATTAGGATTCGAGACGACGTGTGGTCTTTTCGTCACTGCAGTTTGTCACCTTTTGACTTCAAACCTCGACTAGTCAAGGGAGTTTTTTGAGAATTTTTATACCCCAGGGATGACAATGGACTTAACCTTGGGGTATTTTTGATATTCGCCAAAATAAATATATTTACAATATTCAATATCAACACTTATAACTTTATATATTTCTTTAACTAAACTCAAGAATTAAAATAACATGTGCAAAGTACAAGCTAAAATCTGTACACGTTATAAAATCGGTAATTTCTTAGGTAGACCTACGTCTACCACTAAAGTGGTGGATCCCTCCTAAAATTTAAAACGAGTTAAATTTAGATGGGGTCTTTTTTATATTTTCTATAAACTATGGGAATTTGTCTTTAAATATTAACAAAAGAATTCTATAAACATCCAAAATCTTAAAATGATTTTATCTATTGATCCTTTAAAAATTATGAAGCATATTATACATGTAACATATAATACTTGACAAGATCTATCCAACGAGCTCCATATTAAATTTTTTTTTCCGAATTTTATAATTATGTTTTTAAGTCATAAATGTTTTATGTCTCTATCATGTGTATACTTTTTTCGGAACTATATTTTTATATTGCTAAAACTTAAAAAAATTACCACAAGAAATTTAAAATTATATTGACGAAACTTTAAAAATTACACCGCATCGTCATTCGAATTATATTACTGGGATTTCAAAAAATTAACTACATGAACTTGTGAATTTAAGCATTTTGATTAGGTTAGGTACTCATGTTCCTAATTTAAATGCTGAAATTTGACCCATATTTTCCCCCTCTCGGCATTTAGGGTTTAGGGTTTTGGAGGATTTAAACATTTGCTTGATTAGGGTTTAGTGGCGAGTAAAAACGTACTTGTGAATTTAAGCATTTTTAACTTAATTTAAATGTTTAACTTCAAACCGTGTTTTTCTAACCCCTCCCTCCCCCCCCCCACCCATTTTAGGATTTAGGGTTTAGGGTTTAGGGAGGGGTCCAAGCAACCCCTTCATGGTTAAGGTCCGGTGGTGAGTGAAAAAAAGTTTGTGAACACTTTGTAGATTGATATTAGCAGTAGATTACTCGAGAAATATATTAAAAAAAGTTTGAGAAGTACCTCGGTTTTGAGTTAAATTGATTACTCGAGAAGGTGTTACCTCGATTCCGAGAAGGTATTATTTGAGTAGATGAACGTCGAGATACGTCTTCTCGAATACTTCAAGTAGTAGTAAGGTGCTCGAGGGATGCTTGCCCCTTCGAAAAGATGTATCTTCTCGAACACTTTGTGTAGTAATATGGTGCTCGAGGGATTGTTGCCCCTTTGAGAAGATGTATCTCTCGAAACTCCAATCTTTGAGATTGCCCCTTGCTAATTGTTCTTCTCGATCAGCTGTGGAGCAAGTGCAGCTCCTCGATTATTTGTGCAATGAAAAACTTCTTTGTGCTACTTGTCGGGCTGACATCTTCTTGGCCAAACAAAGATAATTTTTTGCGTGATCTTCTAGTTGTAAAATCGGAGCAACGAATTAACACCGTGGTTGCGAAAGATACAAAAGATTCCGTGCTTCGCTAAGAAACTTATTTGGTTGTGAAGACCAAACAAATCAGTCCCACTGGGCGTGCCAATTGACGAAGCATGGATCTGCACGGTGCCTTAGGACCGACGACGATGATGATCTAGGCGGCGGCAGACGGCCTAAAACCTGCAAGACAGAGCCTCGGGGGTCTCCCGAGGGTAGACTCTCTGATGCTTAAGTCAATAAAGGAATAGAGATAATAAAGAGAAGGTGATGTGTATCGTGTGTAAAAGGTGTAGATGATAGGTAGAAGATATGAATTATGGGAGAGGCACCATCTCTTTATATAGAGGTGGTGTTACCTGTTTTCTGAAATCCTAGCGGACTAGGTTTAGGCGGTGGTTTAATCTCCAAGTAACCTAATCTTAGGCCCAATAGGCCTAGGGTTTATTTTGGACTCGTCAATTTTGTTGTAAATGGTTGACTTAGTCGGAAACTAGTCTTCTTCTTGTTGTAATTTGTGTTTGGTGCAATTTTTGAAATTGTAGCAACAAAGGGGAAATCTTAACTATTACAGCGAAATAGGAAAATTGTAGAAATATTGATTTTAAATGATGTAGTAATCTTTACTCGTTACGCAATTTTGCTGCAATTAACAAAAGAAGTTAAGAATAAAGTATCATGTAAGTGCAAAGTAATAAGCATCATTTTGCTTTGAAATGCCTCATAAAAGCAGAGAAACAATGTATTTAGCTTAGAATGCCAAATGTGCTCATATATTACATACACCGCTAGTCCGCTACAACGATAATGTGGCCGAGTATTTGAAAGCTTCTGGCATATAAAGTTTATTAAAAATAATAAGACAGTGTTCTTAATTAATAATTTGCATCTTGTTCCGGTTGGTTGCCAGTAATTCTTGATTGAAATTTTAATAATTTACTTCAAAATTAAAATTTCATTTGAAACTCTCAGAAGTACATCAAAACACACAAATCGGTTTCTGGTGGGATTATGAGAGACCATTGTGGTTGTTTGGTGGAGAGGAGTTCTAATAAATACATGATTTTTGCTCTATTCCCATCTCTGATTTGTGGGTTTGTTTCACTACAACTTGTTTGGGACTTGGGTGGTAAGCAAATTGTTGCTAAAATTGATAACTAGAATGTGGTGTCAAAGATTAATGATACAACTCAACATTACACTTATTACTTATTTCACTTTTTATTCAACTTGTTACACTTATTACACTCAATATTACACTTATTACACTTATTTAACTAGAATGTGGTGTCAAAGATTAATAATACAGCTCAACATTACACTTATTACACTTAGTTATTCAACTTGTTATTACTTTTATTTAACTCAAAATTTTAGTATTGTGTTCATTCCGATTTAAACGATAACAACAACATTAGTTATAATCTATAGTATTATACTAAGAGAGAAACCAGAGAGAGGGAATCAAATTTCTTCCCACATTGACACATAGGACTCAGTTTCCAATTGGTTGCAACAAAAACTATTTTCAACAATTACATCAAATGTCCTCTAAATTTTCAGTTATCCATTTGTTACCATTTTAAAATTAATTGAATATATGAACCATTAATTAACAAACCCACTAAATCAGCAAAAACCATAATCAACAAAAACTTTCTATTTCGTAATTGTGAGATGAAATAAAAACGAAAAATCTTCAAATTTTCTATTATGTGTCACCCAGAAAAGGTAAGAATTAATTTTATTCATTATACTATAAATGCTAATTATTAACAATACTATTTCAAATTTTAAAATAATTAAATGTGCCGCATAATTAGGAAAATATGAAGGGAGTCGTGGTTAATTTTGGATTTCATTCAATCAAATATAATTAATACATACCAATCTTCTTTCTTGAAATATATATACATACACATATTTGTCTTTCTACTCCATCCCAAAACTCTCAAACAATCCCAATCTGTATTCATTTTTTTTTATTCGCTAAGCCTGATTTCATTGTATATATTGAGGTCTGACAAATATTTGATTGGATCTTTTGCAGTTTTTTTGGTGATTGTGAATGAGAGTCAAAAGAAAATGTATTCATATTACGAACCAAAAAGAAGAACCTCATAAAGAAAGCTTAACGTTATCAAATGCCAAGAGGGGCAACCACCTTCAAGAAAATTTCATATCTCTCTGTGAAGCCTCGCTTTTTTGTGAAGTCCTGAGTACACCTTTTGCAGGTTATATTGCCAAATCAAGTAACTAGCGCCAATTATTAGCATTAGTACGAAACAAGTTTGTTTGTTTATTTTAATGAATTCTCTCTATGATGAATGCATTTGTATTTCTCATTTAAAAAATTAGTTTATTACTATTTAATATTTTGTTGATTAAAATCTTGATTTGATGGGTATGTATAATTTACATTCATCATGAAATTAAAATGCTATTTTTTTAAGTGATGATACAATAACAAATGTTGTAATGATTATTTTTTTTATAACGTGTTGATAAATTAAATTTTTTTGGTGATTTAATGCAGACAAGAGCCACCAATTTATAGTATTTTATTCTTTCAATCTAAAAGAATAGTTTATGTTGAGTTTTATAAATCTCAAAAAATGGCCAAGGTATGCTTTTATCTCTTCTTCTTGGTTTTTTTTTTCCCCCATAAAACATTTACATTAATGACTTTTGGAGGTAGTACATACAATGCTTAACCTTAATCCAGAGCATGAATCTCTCTTCTTCTCAACGTAGCAAGCAGTATCGCATCTCTCAATTTATAAGTCTCTATTTCAGAGTCTTTCAATTTATGAATATAATTCCGCATAAAAAACCCTATCTTGCACGACCAATCTACTGTGACGTTGGTCATCAAATCCTTGAAAGATCCTGAAGGGACTGTTTGAAGACCAAAACATGAAGCACTTCAGGAGTACTTCAATCGATGATTATATGATGTAGTTGAGATTATTCATGATGAATCACATATGTATTTACACTACATGAATACACCAATCGATGATAAAGCGTAAATTCTTATATCCCGCACATCGTGCGGGTAACATCTAGTTGTCATTAATACCGTTTGTCCAATATCCTATTCAAAACCTTACATATATTATGTTGTTATAAATAATAATAATGATACATTCAAAATATAAATTAGTCGCACGATTCGTGACAATAGAAGAACTATTAAAATTATGTATGTGGGAATATTATATTTATATTTATTCAAGAATTGATTGAGAAATTAAGAAGTTTATACATCTTGTAATATGTCTTGTATATGATGAATATGAAAATATTTAAGGATCAATTATAAAACTAAAGCGAACGAGGAGTTGGTTCAGTGGTAAAATCACCCTTACTCCAAGAGTAGATCATGAGTTTAATCCCCCACTCTTACAAAAAGTGAGAGGTTGACTCTCAACTTGCCTATTCGCACCTCTAGGGGCTTGCTTTGGCTAACCCACTAATGAACTCTCAATTTCGCAACTGAGCTTGTCACCCCGAGCTTGCCTGCCTAGGGTGGTTTACCTCCTACTATAGTTTACAGGCTATTGCAGTGGGCGTGGGTTTACCCATCTCTGGTGGGGTTCCCGGCGTTACCCAAAAAAAAAAAAAGAAACTGTGGGAGTGTAAATACATAGAAAAGAAGTTTAGGGACTAGTTTGTTAAATATTGTAAATTAATAGATTAACTACTCCTGTACTCCGTTGTTTTCTTTCAGCCACCGCCGCCGCTTACCTTCAGTTTCTTCTTCTTCTCTTCTAATTTTTCTTTTTATTTTATTTTTTTTTCCTTCTGGTTTGCCATTGCACGTACGCAGAATTGGGTGACCGCACCGGACACAGAGCCAAAATCCGGCGAGTCTGGGTAACATAGTTAGAATTGCTTGTAATATTTTAATTTGACATTGCTGAAAAGCTCGTTTTACTCGCATTTCCGTTGCTCGGGTAGTTTGGAATTTTCGTTCTGCTCCAAATGGGTTGGAAAGCCGCTCAGAAACTCATCCACCATTGGAAGATTGTCCGAGGTGATAATGTAAGGAAAAGTAAGTTTGGATTATGGACATGATGTAGACAAATTGTATTTTTGGAATGCTATATCTGTAATTGCTCATCAGGTTTTCTTAAATCACCTGTAGGTGGTGATAATCAGAGGCAAAGATAAAGGAGAGACTGGTACGATAAAGCGTGTTATTCGTTCTCAGAATCGTGTTATAGTCGAGGGGAAGAATTTGGTCAGTGACTGAATTGCTGCCCGTGTTAACACGGCTATGTTTTTTATTATGTTTATTTTCCTTCTCATTTATTAGTTTTTTTTTTATTTTTTTTATTTTTTTATATTGATCAGTTAATGACGAGTAGTTGAATGGATTAAGGAACCAGTTCAGATAACTTTCCTTGTTACCAGTGGATGTCATGATGCACTGCGTACTTGGTGGCTCCATGAATTATTACCCATTCTATATGCTGGAGTAACATAAAGTGATTCATTCAAGTTTCGCCATTGTGTTATTAGAAAATGGATTTGTGATGTATGCATATGATGCAGTGAACAAATTTTTCTCTGATTTGATGCGTAAACTTAAGTCAACATACTGATACATGTTGATGCAACTGTCGATTAAGAGTATTTTCATTCTATCAAAGCTAGAGTTTTTTGTTTTTTTTTAAAAAAGAAAAAGAAAAAAATGAACATTTGTGTTTTCTACTTTGCGTTAATTCAATCTGAATATGTGCCGGTGCATTTGGTGTATTTTTTTCCTGCAAATTTATGCGTAAACTGCAGTGGTTAGGAATCAACGTTTGCTTTGACATATGAAATTTTGGGCTAAAGAACTAACAAGTCTAACCATTAAATCTACGGAGTGCAAGACAGATCTGTTGAGATACTAAAAATTATGAAATTCTGTGTTGGGAAAAGTTTTAGCTTCGTTATGCCTTATATGTGTTATAGTTAGTGATGCAAAGATGCTTTGAGAATAACAATTGTAGATTTAATAATTTCAATGTTAGTTGACAAATGATTTGGGCCAATACCGATGTCTTCTTTTGGTAGCTTGGATAAGAGGAAAAGCGAAAGGTCATGCATGAATGAATAATCAGTATTTCAGGGTTGCCTTTTGATCAAATAAAAGTAAAAATAAACTTGAAGATAAGGACTCTCTTTATTGATTTCAGATAAGGACTCTCTTTATTGATTTCAGATACTTGCGATAACTTGGGATTTCAATTGGGAAAAGTTGAATTTTTGTGTGTCTGTGCGTTTGTGTTTTTGTGAAACGGTTGAATTTCTGCTAGAAAATTAAGGTTTTTGGGTAGTTTGTGAAGTACGGTTTTAAGAAGACAAAACTTACACATATGGGCATCTTTTTATGGCTATTGGACAAATGTTGTGCCTTACTGTTTAGTGATATTCGTTCATTTGGAATATATTCAGGGATGATTTGCTTTTCGGAACTCTTGGACTGGTTAGTTTTGTTTCTTGCTTTAGTAGTCTATTTCATTCTTGAGTTGTTGTTTAGTAAATTATGCTGTGTCCTTTGTTCTGGTAGCTTAAAATTATTAGCTTCTGGGACAATTACTTTAAAAGTTTGTCATTCATGGAGGACAATGCTAGAAGGAATTGGGTATTAGAGACTTGGGTTTTTTCAAATTTGCTTACATGTTAACTACTCTCCGACAGCCTTTGCTCATTCATCAGTATAACAAGTTATTTTCATACTTTATCCTTGCAGGTGAAGAAACACATTAAACAAGGGCAAGGTCATGAAGGTGGGATCTTTACAGTTGAAGCCCCACTGCACGTCTCAAATGTTCAAGTGGTCGATCCTGTGACAGGGTAAACATCCACTTACTGTAGGGGACATGTCCGTCCATTTTCTGTCTTTTGCATGTTGGGCAATCAGTTTTTCCCTGTTATTTGCAGGAAGCCATGCAAGGTAGGAATCAGATATTTGGAAGATGGCAGCAAAGTAAGAGTTGCTCGAGGTATCGGTGCATCAGGTTCTATTATTCCTCGACCTGAGATCTTAAAGATAAGGACAACACCCCGACCAACTGTTGGTATGCTCATTCTCTATTCCTTGCTGTCTGTTCCTTAATTATGAAGGTCTTGTTGCGTGTCAGATGGTCTAAATGATAACTTGACAACATTATGGAGTAGAACTGCTCTCTGATTTTAAGGCGCATAGGGCTATCTAGCATGTAAGCGGATCAACTTTTAGTTGCCTTCATAAGGCTTGTGTCTAAATGATGACTTTCAACTAGGAGAGCCTACATAACAAAGAGTAAGCTGAATATATGATATCATATTTAGGGCATGCCTTCGTTCAGTTTCTTCAGTGAAAATTGGAAAACTTTATTGGGGTTTTAAGTGATAAGAGATTACAAGCTGGATCATTGGAGAGCTGTCAGGGAAGTGGGTGCAGAATTTGATGTTAGTTTAGTGGGCTATGGAGCTGCTTACTTGCTTCTTAACTGAATTGGACTAAAAATATTGCTGAACAAAGAACTGAAGAATTTATATTGTAGTCAGCTCTATTTTGTGGTGAAGTTTTTTCTTTTCTTCTTTTTATTTTTTGTCACTCCTTAAACCTGCTGGTAGATTATCGTAATTTTTCTAATATACTCTTCTTAGTAATCCCTTTGTGAAGACTTGCAAATGGAAAGAGAAGGAAATAAACAAGCAAGATAGTGAAAAGTTTGAATGATATTCATGTTTATTTTTCAAAAATTCGCGTGCTTAAATCTTTAATTCACTTTCTGCCATTGAGGAAGACGGAAGATGAAGGACTAGGTATGAAAATGTGGTATATTTGTATGGGTGTCTCGCCATTGGCTATTTTAGCTGTTGGCTTCTTTTTTGTCGTACAATCTGTGCTCAGGATCTCAGTTATTGCCTTAAAAACAAAAACTTGGTTCAGTGCAATTGTGAATTCTTTTGGTTAGTACCAAATATCTTTTGTAGCACATTGTACTCTTTATTTTATCAAAACATTTGTTAATTTCCTTACAACTTTTATCTTTGCAGCTGGCCCTAAGGATACTCCTATGGATGTAGTGTTGGAAAGGACATATGATCCTAAAACTGGACTTGGAATGCCCGACCTTATGAGCGTGCATATCCATCAACCTTCCAAGAAGTCTTGAGTGATTTTGTGTCAGCAAGCTGATGATAGTTTCTACCTTTTAATGCCTCTGCGGGCTGTGGTCAGAGTTATAACTTGTCGGAAAGGCTGCTGCATTTGATTATTTTGATTCTCATTTGTGGTAAAGGGTTGTTGATGATGCAACCCAGGGAAAATTATTATGTTTCTGTTGCAGACTGATTTTGGGTGCATGAAAAAAAATTACTCTCTGTTCCAAAATTATTGTTCAGTTTGAGATTTCACTTTTAATACAATTTGAACTAGAAATGAAAATTCAAACTGGACAATAATTATAAGATGGTACTATGTTGCTCCCTCTTACTGCGGTTCTATTATCCCACTTGATTAGAAGCGGTACTAATAATTTTTCATTACTAAAGGTAGCAATCAATGAAAGTATCATACCCTTCATAAGGCAGGCAAACAATCCAAATCACAGAATTTCAAAAACTTAAGAGATTCATTAAGTACGGTCCCAAGATTATGGGATGAAGAAAATGTAGTGTATAGTGTTCTTTCGAGATAAAATGGACCACCAAAGTTGGCCGGAGAGTGACAATTACTCCTTTGTCCAAAGGGCGAACCTTGTAATTGAAGCATTGCATATCACAAGAAGTTGTTGATTCAAAAAAGAGTGAGGTAATTAAACACAAATGAAAAATAAAAGTAAAAATAAAAATAAATAAAGTTATTCTACTATTCCTGTACGTTAAATTAGTAGATGAAGGGCAACAAGTTAAAAATACACGTGGTAGAAAGAGTAAAGAAAATTTGGGTCCAACTCAGAATAATTCCTAGAATTTCAGAGATCAATCGTGGTTAAATGGAAATGAGACAACACCAGAAGCTGATCGTGTTTTTAAGGCTCAGTCTACTACTTTGTCAGTGAATGCTCGAAAAGAGTTGCGCCAGCGGCTAGCAAACCAAAAAAACACAAGCTAGCTAGGTCTGGTTGCGTGGTTGTCTCAGTTGTTACTAAGTTGCATCCTCCTAAACATCAAGCTGTTTTTGTGTTTGATAGCCCAATCCAAAATGGTAACAACACCGATGGACTATATGCAACAATTGATCTTGCCTGCGACGATGATGCTACGGCAATGGTTTTAATAGATGATAGCAACGATGATGCTACGACAATAGTTGAGGAGATGGTTCAAGATTCTTCAGTTCTGAGTACTCTGATGTTAGTATTCAAACAGTAAGATATTTAGGGACGAATGAAAGAGCAATTAGTTCTGAATGAGATTTATTAAGAAGAGACCAAGGGATAAAGCTTGAAATAGTAACTTTATGGTGAGGTTATTTTTTTTAATTCTCTTTATATGTGCTTAGTTTCGATAAATTATTGCGTCCGTCTGATCATCAACATTCTAAGCATTTTGCCTTCTTTTACTGTACCAAAAAAAAAAAAAAAAACACAGATATTTCTTCAGATACTAACTCGTATGTTTCGCATTTAAATTATTCATATCTCAATATTTCATTGTAATTGATCGTTTGATCAAATTTAGCTTAGATGATATAGTTATCTTATGTATTTTCTTAGTTCACTTCTAACACACTACATTCCACATACTCTTCCTATTCGCACGTCTACAAAAGAAACGCTCAAATTTATCTCGTGACTATCGAACGAGTATAGAACATAATCGCCTAGATTGGGTTTCGGAATTCCAGCCGCTCTGGTAATGAATAGAATGAACTACCCCCAAAATTTTGCAAAACAACATTACCTAGGAAGAGAATAATAAGCGTAATTAACATCCGTCTCATCCTGCTTAAGTTTTTAACACATAAACCAGAACTGATGTATGTAAGTGCAACATCAGTAAACTCCGGAAATACCTGAATACACAAAAAGATACTGCTGGATACTATGTTGTAGAAGAAGAAATATAACATATCAAGATCTAAAGACCCAGACCGACTGTGCGACCATCTCTTCGACGCAAGCCAGCAGTGTACTGCCTCTCTAAATCCATCTGGAGCTGCTCCCTCTTCTTCTCCACATCCTCGGTGTCGGGCTTGGTTTCCGCTTTCAGTTCGCCTTTCACACCCTACAATCGGCCATAGGCACCAATGCAAACTCAGACTCTAAAAGTGTGTCAGTATGTAGAAAACATTACAAATTGGAGAAACACTACAAAACATCCCTACATTTTCTACTTCCATGTGTGTATTGGTGAATAAGCAAGGAGAGGAAATTACCATGAGCTTCTGGAACTTCTCTTGTCTTTCACGATCACCAAAGATTGTCGTGTCCCAGTGATTACCGGACTATTTTCGAACGATGTACAAGGACACAAGCAAAAAGTATGGTAATTAACAAGACAGATGAGGAAAGAAACATATGGGCCCATAACAAGGCCAAGACTCTCAGGCAATGTTTCATTATGCATAACATAAGACACATTGATTCAAATCAACAGGCAAAGCAATAAAACAAACTGGACAAGATAATGAAGGATAACACACTGAGACCAACAAAAAGACAAAAAAGAATTGCAGAACAGATTATGCTTTCACCATAGAGAGGAAGATTTAAAATAATTGACCATTACGCCTTTAACACTCATTGTGATACACAACACCACATCCACGGCAAGTTCAATGTCTCAAAAAAAATGCAGCGTAAATTAGTTACCTCTTCCTTGGCAGTGGTTTTCTTGTTACCCCATAAAAGCTTTTTCTTCTGGTCAGCAGACATGATCCCAGTTCCAATGAGATTTCGATTAACTGGAACCAGCAATGGGGAAAAAAAAATATTAAGTTAAGAAATAAACATGAACTAGCATAACGAGTACATTCTGGCGAGTAACAAATCGCAGCTCCCATGAAATAGAAGAATCTATCAATATTCATTGTCATTTCACAAGCTAAGCATGCAACGGAACTACATTAATGGGACAAACACACAAGCACCAAAAAAACTTTTCCTTGACGAAACAATAGAAAAGTAAGAGATAAAAATTCTTTGAACAGAATACACTAAAGGATCTATATCTCAAAATAATAGCCTCAAGCCCCAACGAAAGAAACAAGCAAGCAATCCAAAGATGATGGTATTAGTAATCCCTAACAGTGACAACAAATACTGAAAGCAGTTAGCCGCAGCACAACAGGTGAATATAAATAGGTCAGAACTCATAGGCCCATGATAGACTAAATCTTATGCCACAGTTTGCGAAATACAATTCTAAAATGCCCTATTGATCCCAATATTCCAACTACATTAAATTAACATCAGAAAGTGTCTAACCTATTACAGATTTGAAGTCACAAAGTTCGGACCAACACAACAGTTTTTTATCGCATGCACATCATTCTTGCAATAATAGCACCATTTGCATTGAAAATGATTAGATACTGACCTAATTCAGCAGCCTTCATCGCAGCAATCTTTGCAGCATCTATATCAGAATCTGTCAGAGAAACTTGCTCACCAGATCCCTGACTGACAAACTCTTCCACTTGCTTTGAACCCAAAGACTGCTTGTCATCAACTACAATGGCCCATAATTAAAAGGGTCATAAGAAGTTCAAACATGAAGAGGTCTTAAGCAAGAAACAGGTAAGAGGGAGAAAAGCATCAAAAGTAACATCAAAAGAAACGAAAATTAAAATGATTGAACAAAAGAAACGATAAAAACAGATAAGTGGGAGAAAAGCATCGGATGTACCATCAAAGCCAGACAACTTAGGTTTCTTGGCAGCAGATTCTTCATCTTTCTTAGAATGACCATTTTCAATTTCAGAATTCCCTGTTTCTCTCTGGTGCTTATCATTGTACCTGTCCAAATCTTCAGAGTTCTTTTCCTCTCTTTTGTAATTTTCAGTGTCAAATTGCTTAGTCTCATTTCGGCTGGCTTTTCTAGATGTTGAGTCATTCCTGTGACTCCTAGATCCTTCATAATCCCCTGAACTCCTGCGATGGTCCCTCTTCTCATCTAAACCAACTTTATCATCATTATGACTATTCCTCTCCCTGTGTCTAGAATCCTCATTGTGCTTCCTACCCGATCCAGGTCTATCAGACAGTGAGCGTTTTTCTGCATGTTTTTGGTAGTCAGAATCCTTTTCTCTTGCCTTGTCTCTGTTTTTATCTCCCAAAACATCAGACTTATCCCAAGAGTGTTTCTCATCAGGCCGCAGATGGTCCCTAGAGCGGTACTCATTATCTCGCCTATAATGATCAGAATAAGTGTTAGATCTAGGTTCCCGGCCAGAACGAGAACGGTAATAATCTCTATCATCATCACCAGCATACTTATCACGTCTATGATAATCATCATTCCGACTATAACTGCGAGAACCCCGGTGGTCAGAACTCCTATGTGACACACTACTCTGACCATAATGGCTTCTTCCCAGCTCCCTATCAAAGTCTATTCCATCATCCCTCTTTCTCCGCTCATCGGTAACTTTTTCAGAATCTTTTCTGTGTCGCACTGGACTAGAGCTCCGTTCACCTATAGGACTTCCTGCATAAATAAAAATTGCAAAAAGATTAAAATATACAGCAGGAGGGAAAGAAAGAAGTAGGAATTCGGAGATAGCCATGTAGACACTTCCCAATGTGGAAGACTAAGACATATTTTATGCATTCAAATACTCCTAAGTTTCAGATAACTGTCCACTACAGTCAAAGTCTGGAAACATCACATACAGTCATCAACATTGCCAGTATGCTATGCAGCCTTACCCGTAAATATACAAAGAGGCTGTTTCCATTGCGACCCAAGGTACATAGTGTTATTTGATATATTTATTTCCAGCAACTTCACTAATAGAAGAAGCACTGGAATTTAATAGAGCCATTTTGATCTAGTTCATTATTAGCACAGAGGTAAAAGAATTGTCAATGATGACTCTTCAAGCTCCATTTGCAATGGACAAAAGGACATACTGTTCACAGACAAATTTTTAATGGTATCATTGCTACCATTCAAAGTAGAGGTAAATTATGAAATACGCATCCCAAAGGTCAAACAAGATAAAACATTCCTGAAACCTTGAAGCGGTGATGATTGCACCGTTTCTCCAATCCTGACCCGACACTCATCTATGTCTCGCCAACTACTAAATGGAAACTATAAACCCTTCTCATACAATAAATGGATTGCCACAATGCAAAGTGACTCGGAACCACAACCAGACCAGGTAGAACTGCAAAAAATGACTGACTTTTTAGGAAACTATAAACTCCTTTTACACTATAAACGGATTGCCACGATGCAAAGTAACTTGAACCACAACCAGAACCAGCAGGAACCGCCAAACAATAACAGCCAACAGCTCTAAGACCACAATTTTCTCATGTTCCAGAACACAGCACTAACCATAAAAATGCAAGAAAATGCAACCCTAAGGTAAAACTTCAAATCATAATGATTAAATGGAAACAAACAGTAGCAATTCAAACACTGTAAGGAAACGGTAAAGAAAATAATCGGCATAAAAAATTCAACATCAAAACGGAAACGCAATTTACCTCCGGAAGAAGAAGATCCACCTTGTGGAGAGCGGCGCCGGTAACTCCTGTTGGCTGCATCATTAGCAGGCTTACGAAACGTCGCCGGAGCATCGGCGTTCTCTTTGGGAGGAGAAGGTTGTGGCTCCATGTTTATCCCGACCTATAAAATTAGGGGTATTTTCCGATTGAAGATTGAAGTCGATTCTTGGCTTTGATTAAGAACGACGAGTAGAATTTCCACAGAATTAGATACTTTTCGGAATATCTACTTTCTACCCCCCCACAGCTTTATCCGACCGGATTTTATGAGAAAAGGGAAAAATATCTCCTACCGAGAGGGGTGGGGACAAGGTACGGAGTGGACTGGGCAGTATAACCCAAGTTCTTACGGGCTTGTTTGGTTCCAAAAGGTTTTCATAGGCCCGTTTGGTTATACATAAGAGTAATAGACCTGGGCTCCATTTTTTTTTTGCTAACCTTGGGTAGTGTCATGATCAGGGTCTGATTGAGAATTCTGAAAGTTTAGTGGTCAAATTACAAAAGGAGTATTAAATGTTGTATTTCTGATTTTGGCAGTTTTATTACTTTCCAATGATTAGATATAAAGACTGTAATCATGAACGAAATGATTAGTGAATGATAATCAGTTTTCTCTTTCGGGAAGTTTCTTAACTGCTCTTCTCTTCCATCTCGTCTTCTGACTTCTCCGTCTTAGCTCTGGCAACCCAAAACTTACAAAATTTATTCTTTCCGGCCACCGTTAGTGACAACTTGGTAATCAGAGCTTCGATTCTTGGCTTTGTTAATCAAATCAAATCATCTCGTTCACAGAAAGAGATTGATGACAAACTCCATCGCCAGGAGCGGAAATTGGCAGAATTTTCCACAGATCTCCGGCAACAGGTGATCGAGAATAAGGCGAATAACGAGGAATTGAAGACTCATTTTGAATCTAAATTCGCGAGTACGGATTCTCAATTGACCGAGATTCGTGAGCAGTTGAAGATCTTGATATCTGTTTCGCAGAACAGAAGTGCAATCTTGAATAATCCGGTGATTTTGGAGAAACCTCCAATCTTGAATGGGGCTTTTCAGGCGGGGAGGTCGGCGATTATTGTTTCACCTGAGAAATCGTCGAATCATCAAGAAAATGACAAAGGGAAGTCAGTGGAAGTTCAAGAAATTGCAAAGGACAAATCAACCAGACCACAGTGGTTTACTCAACCTAAGATCGAGCTTCCAATTTTCACTGGTGATCAACCAAGGGATTGGCTCCGAAAATGTGCTAAGTTCTTTATTCTTCATCAAATCCATGAGGATCAGAAAGTCGATCATGTGGAACTGTATTTGGAAGATCAGGCTGATACTTGGTATCAATCCATCAGACTTACTCAGGGAAAGCTATCTCTGGCAGAATTTTCCTCAGAATTACTCAAAAGATTCATCGATCTGGAAGAAATTAGTCCGATTGAGGAGCTCAACAAATTATTCCAGGCAGGATCAGTCAAAAGCTATCAGAACAAGTTTGAAGAACTCAGAACGAGAATGCTCATGCAAGATCCCAGACTTTCTGAGGAGTATTTTATACACAATTTTATGAGTGGGTTGAAAGAAGAGCTAAGGCCTATGGTGAGGATGTTCTCTCCACAAACGCTTACAACAACCTTCAAACTGGCACTTCTTCAAGAATAAAACCTGGACTTAAGCATCAAGAAACAGAAGGTTATTCCAAATCAGGTAACCAAGACTCAACCATTTCATGCTAAATCTAATGATCTTTTCAGAATGCCTGTTAGGTCTAGCAAACCATTAAATCCTGATTTTGTGAAGAGGCTTAGTCCAGAGGAGTATCATTATAGAGCTAATAACAGACTGTGTTTCAAATGCGGTGAAAAGTTTGGTCCGGGTCATGTCTATAAATAAAAGCATTTCAATATCATGATTGTGATTGAGGAAGATGAGTTGGAAAATAACAAGAAGGCTGATTATGGAATTGATTTAAATGACTTGACAATTGAAGAAGGCTCACTGCATGTGTTTCCATGGATAGCAGTAAGCAGACCATTCTATTAGTAGGAAGATTGCAGGGCAAGATTGTTAAGATTCTCATTGACACTAGCAGTACTGACAGTTTCATAGATGGAAGGGTAGTTCAAAATTTGAGTTTGCCTGTTAAAGAATGCCAAAAGTTTACCATCACTGTGGGAGATGGAAACAAGGGTTCAGGGAATCTTATTTGTCCAAATTTACATTAGAAGATCATGGACTATAAGTTCAACTATGACTTGAAGATAATGAAACTCAGTGGTTATGATATGATATTGGGTGTAGATTGGATGAAACACTATAGTCCAATTACTTTTGACTTTGAGGATATGCATGTAAGGTTGAGCAAGTATTGTGATATCTTTGCAAGTCCAAGCTCTCTTCCTCCCAGCAGGACAGTAGATCATCAAATTCCTCTCAAGCAAGGTGCTCAACCATTCAAAATGCATCCTTATAGATGCCCTCATGCACACAAGTCTGAAATTGAAAGGCAAGTCTCTAAATTGTTAGATCAAGGGACAGTTGAGTAAAAGTCCATTTGCTTCACCAGTGATTTTGGTCAAGAAGAAGGATGAGAGTAAGAGGATGTGCGTTGATTATAGGCGGTTGAATGATATGACCATCAAAGATAAATTCCCTATTTCTAGTAATTGAAGAACTTCTTAATGAGCTAAATGGTGCTGCTGTATTTTCTAAGTTGGATCTCAGGTCAGGCTATCATCAAATACTGGTGAATAAAGAGGATGTACACAAGACTGCTTTCCAGACTCACAGTGGACACTATGAGTTTCTAGTGATGCCTTTTGGCCTCACAAAATCTCCTGCTACATTTCAGTCACTTATGAACCAGATCTTCCAAGACCAACTCAGGAAATTCGTGCTTGTTTTTGTTGATGACATTCTAGTCTACAGCAACAACATGGAAGAGTATAAGAAACATCTCAGAGTAGTTCTTCAAATTCTGAGGTCTTACCAGTTGTATGCAAAAAGGTCCAAATGTTCTTTTGCACAACTAACTGTGGAATATTTGGGGCCCTTAGTCTCTACTGATGGAGTAAGTATGGATAAACAGAAGGTGGAGTGCATCAATGATTGGCCTGTTCCATCTTCTGTTAAGAGTTTGAGGGGATTTTTGGGATTAACTGGTTAGTACAGACGTTTCATCAGGAACTATGGGATCATCTGTAAACCACTTATAAACCTCCTCAAGAAAAATGCTTTCTGTTGGAATACAAAAGCTGAAAATGCCTTCCAGAAGTTGAAAACTTGTATGGTCTTAGCTCCTGTTCTTAGACTACCTGATCTTTCTCAGACCTTCATTGTGGAGACTGATGCAAGTGAAACAGGAATGGGAGTAGTCCTTATGCAGCAAGGACAACCTATAGCATTTATCAACAAGGCTTTTAATCAGAAAAACAAGGGCCTATCTGTTTATGAGAAGGAATTGATGGCTCTAGTTTTGGCAGCTAACAAGTGGAGCCACTATCTTATTGGGGTGCATTTCATCATCAGAATGGATCATCAATCCTTGAAGTATCTGATGGAACAAAAGGTGATTAACACTAATCATCAAAAGTGGTGAACTAAGCTCCTTGGTTTTGATTATGAAATACAGTATAAAAGAGGGAAAGAAAATACAGCAGCTGATGCTTTATCAAGAAGAGAGCAATTCTGTTTGACTGCCAGGATCACAGAAGGAAGTCTTTCAGCCATTTCAACTCTTCACCCTCAGTGGATGTAGGAGGTTATCAATAGTTATAAAGGAGACCAATTTATCATTGATCTTATTGCTGATATTACTCTTAATCCTAATACTGATGCTGTTAAAGATTTTCAATACATCCAAGGAGTTTTGAGGAGGAAGGGGAAGATTTTTGTAGGTAACCAAACTGAAATCAGGTCTTCTTTACTAAAAGCTTTCCATGCTTCATCATTGGGAGGTCACTCAGGCCAAGTTGTTACCTTACAAAGATTGCAAGCTTTTTCCTTCTGGCCTAACATGAAGAAGGATGTAGAGGCATTTGTGTCTACATGTGAGGTTTGTCAACGCAACAAAGGGAGCATGTTCCTTATCCTGGATTGCTACAACCAAATCTAGTACCACAGCATGCATGGAAAAGCTTATCCATGGACTTTATTGTCAAGTTGCCACCATCAGGATCTTTTAACACCATACTTGTGGTTGTGGATAGGTTGACCAAGTACAGTCATTTTATTGCAATGGAGCCACCTGTGAAAGCTCCTAAACTTGCCAAAGTCTTCTTCCAAGATGTTATCAGATTACATTGGTTGCCAAATGACATCATCACTGATAGGGATGCCATTTTCACTAGTATTTCTAGGAGGAGTTGTTTAAATTTTTTGGTGTACAGTTGAAGTTCAGTACTGCTTACCATCCTCAAACAAATGGACAAACAGACCGTGTTAACCAATGCTTGGAAGCATATTTGAGGTGTTTCTACTGTGATAAACCTTCTACTTGGAGCCAGTGGTTAGTCCTTGCCGAGTGGTGGTATAATTCTTGTTATACCAGCTGCAACACAGGAGGTACAACAAAGGGCTTCTGTCATCAAACTGTTGCAAGATAATATGCTGAAAGCTCAACAACGTATGAAGTACTTTGTAGACCAACATAGGAGTGAAAGAGTTCTCAATATTGGTGATTGGGTGTACCTCAAGCTACAGCCATACAAGCAGACTACTACAGCTGTAAGAGCTCATTTGAGACTTAGCTCTAAGTGTTTTGGTCCTTATGAAATCCTTGAGAAGATTGGTTCCGTGGCTTATCGTTTGAGATTACCTCCTTCTTCTAGAGTACATCCTGTGTTCCATGTGTCATTGTTGAAAAAGCACCAGGGAATGATTCCTGCCATTTGCACCTCACCACCTAATTTGTCAATATTGGAAGAAAGCAAGCAGCAACCTGATAAGGTTCTTCAAAGGCGATTTATTGAAAGAAATGGGGGAAGAGTTACTCAGTGGTTCATACTATGGAAGGGAATGACTATTGAAGAAGCTTCCTGGGAAGATGAAGGATTCTTCCACAGTTAGTTTCATGCTTTCCAAGCTCGAGGACAAGCTTGTTATTAAGGGAGAGGGAGTTGTCATGATCAGGGGTCTGATTGGGAATTCTGAAAGTTTAGTGGTCAAATTGCAAAAAGAGTATTAAATGTTGTATTTTTGATTTTGGCAGTTTTATTACTTTCCAAAGATTAGATATAAATACTGTAATCATGAACAAAATGATTAGTGAATGATAATCAGTTTTCTCCTTCGGGAAGTTTCTTAACTGCTCTTCTCTTCCATCTCTTCCTCTGACTTCTCCGGCTTAGCTCCGGCAACCCAAAACT